GCCAGTATCCACCTGAAGATGGTGCAAGAAGGCCCTATCTCCCTCACACCCCGTAAGCTAGCTTACCGCCTCGAATGATGACACTGCACTCCACTGATCTTCTGCCTTTTCCTCTCTCCAGTTACCCGCATCGTTCGCCTTCAATACTGAAAGATACAGCGCTCCTCTGGCAGCTAGAACATCAGAAGAAAGAGAGGGAGGAGAACGAAATCCTGCAAGCCGCACGCGAATTGGTCAACATGCGCTCTCCTCCGAGAGTTAAGACGGGAGGCCACAACAGTACCACAGCCGACTTGAGCCACCATTACTCGAGGACGAGCGCTTCTCGAGGGATACCACATCTTTACCCTCCGGCTCGAGGGTCCCCAAAAGGAATGATCGCTTCTTCCAAACTTCCCCCGGTCATCGAGTCGCGCAAGAGCTCGTTCGCGAGTACGCGTTCTGGAGCTGATGGGGACAACTTCGCCTTGGGACACTCCTCAAAGACCACATCTTCCGCCTCCTCCGACTCATCAGGATCTTCTTACCACCCATCCACGAGCTCGCGCTCACACTCTGTGGCCAACTCCAATCACACCACTCGTGCCAGTGCCGGAAGTCGGGGAAGTCACAAACACTCTACAGTTAGCGCGGCCTCTTTGAGCTCCCTCACTGAATCCCGCAGAAGCTCGTTCGCGGAAGCAAGCCCGAAACAGGAGCGTGCTGCGGGGTCCCACGGGACTTCTTCTGGACGCAATGGGATTGGTGGAGGGTCGGGGCGCCACTCGGGGTATTTTTCCAGGAAGTCATCGATGGCGTCCGCTACCTCAGGCTCTTCGGGCTCTTCCTTCCATTTGACGCGTAGCGAGGCGTATGACTCTGGGTCTGAGACGGAGCAAAGTGAGGGTAAGTATGTATGACAATCACGAGTGGTCTGACCGATGCTGTCACTGAGTACGGTCAAGCGCATTTTTGCGCCTGTCTGTTGATAAGTGGTAACTTGGTGAGCAACGCGATAAATCTGTTCGGCTACCACCGTTTCCTAGCAACATCCACGCGATAATTACCTACTTCCCGTGTTCCTTTACCCATATTCTTGTGCACATCTTCCTGATAATGAACATGCGATGCGTTCTTTGTGTTTTGTCTGGTGTTTGAAGTGTCTTTGGTGTGTGATGTCAAGACAATCAGGGCCCCTCATAGAATGCTGGACAATTGGCGCCGCTGGCATCCGAGTGGACCGTGTATGAGCCTGTTCCTAACACTCTTTCATTCTAACCACCACCACCCGCAGTCGTCCTGTTTCTCTCCGTCTTCCCTGTCCTCCTCGACGTCCCCGACAGTCTCCCATTGCTACATGCCATCCCAATCGCGAAAAGGAGGAACCGTAACGTTCAATCTATCAGATAGTACTGTGAGCAGTGGCCGCGGGCATTCGGGGTCGACCTTGGCATCGCACTCTGCTTCCGACAACGCGGGTCCATCAAGAGGACATCCAGTCCAACAGGATCTTCACGCCCACATTGCCCACGTCGACGACCCGTACACCCATTCTCATCACTCCCATCATCATCAGCGTCAACAACTGAGCTGGCCTCATAGGACACAGTACGAAGAAGAGTCGGAAGCAGGAGGATCTCTAGCATATCTCGACGACAGCGACAGCAATATTCACCCTAACACGACGGCGCCTAGCCACAGGATCAGCAGCGTGGCCAGCAACAGTGCCCGTCCGACAAAAGTGGAGCGGCCAACGAGCGAGACGACTATCTTCTCTATTTATTCGATGTACGAGGACAAGGGACGTCACTCAACCTTTTCTGCAGCAGGAAGCGTCGACAGTCATTTGGCGTCTTTGAAGCAGCGAGCTAGCATGGTCGGGAGTGGGAATGGGGAAGACTACGCTCCGTCGAGTTCGAACCGATATTCCATGGGGTCGTATGGGCAGCCGCGAGGTATGGGGTCAGGAGCGTATCCTTCGAACGACGCTGGTAGCGATCAGATCCACGTTGAAGGCGACGCTGGACGACGACAGCGAAAAGGGACCCCGAGCTCTTACAGGCCGCTTCCCAGTAACGCACGACAGCCCTCTTCCTCCTCGTCCACTCAGCATCGCGAATCTACCCCATCGACGTCCTATTCCCCTGGCCCACCCGAGGAGAACGCTCAGAACGAGTTCAGACATTCTGTCTCGCTAGGTGCAATCCCAAACACCAGTCACCCACCGAGACGTCCGATATCGGGCGTAGGACCCTCTACTTCAAGGTCTGCCGGTTCGCCTCCACATCAGCATCCAAGTCCAGCAGAACAGTTATCTCCGTCGTCATCGTCGACCTCCCGCCCAGGAAGCACATACATGTCTGCCCGGAACTCACTACATGCTTCCTCCTCCACCGCAACCACCACCACCACCAACTTCACAGGTCTGGGTCTAGACCACCAAGACCTGCAAGGCTCGTCCGAGACAGAACTGGACGTCCACCGAGCAGCGTCGCGGACACCACCTTCCCGCTCGTCGTCCAAGAGCCGAAGTAGGAAAGCCGTGCCCCAGTTCGCCTACGATACACCTCCCGAGACGAACCGAGACCTACCCTCCATCCCACCGCCCTCTCCTTTGCCTAGTACAGCGCTACTCACGCCTCCACAACCGTCGAGCACCCAGCTCCCTTCCACTCCAACACCTGGACCCTCGAGCTCGCTGCAACCAAAAGCAACACCGAAGACGCCGCAATCTAATTCGATATCGCCGCTGCTCTCTAGCGCGCTTTCTACACCCGCTTCTCTCACTTCGTTGGTACCCTCCCAGGGTGAAGAACAGGACGCCTTCCATGTTCGACATACGTATGCCGTGCTTGACACGATCGGCGTGCGTGGAGATGGCTACGAGGAGGGCGTCGAGCGCACTCGAGCACGAATTGGGGCTAGCAGACGGAGTCAGCTCGACGCAGAGGCAGCGCTGGGTAGTGGCGACGAGGAAAAGCGCAAGGAGTTGGGTGAGGAAGAACGGAAGATGTTGGCTGGATTGGACAGGTTCGTCTCCTCGTTTTCGCGATCACCAACGATAGATATTGACTACAACGTCTAGATACGGCTTCTACTCCCTTCCCACACACGACCGACTCGTCCTTCTCCCCTCTGCTCCCTTCCTCAAGCGCCTATCCCCCTCCAAACCCGGCCCACCATTATCCCCCACCTCTCTCTCCTCCCTTCCTCCCACACCTCCAATAACAGCCAAAGAGACCAGCCGAATTGCAAAATGGACTAGGATGCTTATCCCACGGGGGCGAGACGAGGGCGGGAATGCCGATGGGTGGCGGGTGAAGGGGGGGAAGGAGAGGAAGCTTTGGGGGAGGGTGTATAAGGGCGTTCCGGATCGATGGAGGAGTGCTGCTTGGGAGATGCTGGTGGAGGGGTACGCTGTTGCGCCCGCACCTGGATCTCTATCCGTGGGAGGAAAAGACGGAGGGAAGGATGGGCTGGAGAGGGAGTTCCGCGATGCGCTGGATAGGCCGAGCACGTATGATGTGCAGATTGATTTGGATGTGCCGAGGACGATTAGTGGACATGTCATGTTCAAGACGCGGTATGGTGCTGGGTTAGTTATTTTCTCCATTCTTCCGCCATGACTTGGCTAACTGTATCTCACTTCTGCAGACAACGCGCCCTATTTCAGGTTCTCCACTCCTTCTCCCAGCGCTGCGAAGTATGCGGCTACGTCCAAGGCATGGGCCCCATCGCCGCCACCCTCCTCTGCTACCTCTCCCCCTCCGCAACATACACCGCCCTCGTCCGGCTCCACTCCGCCTATTCTCTCCATTCCATCTTCGCCCCCGGCTTCCCCGGTCTCCTCGAAGCCATATACGTCCAAGAGAAGCTCATTGAAACCTACATGCCTGCGGTGTACGAGAGCTTCAAGAACAATATGGTCGGGGGGACGGCGTATGCGACGAAGTGGTATATTACGCTGTTTGCGAATAGTGTGCCGTTTCAGATGCAGTTGAGGGTGTGGGATGCGTTTTTGGTGGATGGGCCGGATGTGTTGGTGGTGGTGGCGGTGGGGATTGTGTGGGCGTATCGGGGTGGGTACTTTTCTGTTCTGTTATGCGCTCAAACAGATGTGCTGATCGTGCTTGTCCTGCTCTAGATCATATAACGTCGCCGAATGCGTCCTTTGAGACGATCCTTTCGCTGCTCTCGTCGTTCTTCGTTCCAGAAGACGAGGACGCGGTGATCAACTGGATAGGGAAGGTGCTTGCAGACAAGGGAATCAGGGACAGTATGCGTGGATGGCGGACGAGCTGGGGGGAGATGGTAAGGACAGGGAAGGATAAGGATGCGTTGTTGTGATTCTTTTCTCTCTCTCTCATGTCCTGTTTCTTTCCCCTCGCTTTTACTGTCCTCCCATTTATCGACTCGTCCGTTCTTCTTCCCTCGCGCACTTCACTTTCTTCCTCCTTCCTCCTGGGCCTTTCTTGCTGCTGCTGTATCTGGATATACCCTCTCATAACGAGCACGGATATACCCACTCATTTCATCTCTTCTCCCCCAATCTCTCGATGTAACATCTTGCTCCGTGCTCTCCCGACCTTAAGCCTGGATCTCTCTTCCAAACCCCTCACATCACCATCACTGTCATTGTCTTGCGCATCTGTCCTTATTCCATTGCCCTCTGCATTTTCTCCACTGCTGGTTTCTCTGTTCTTTGCTCATCTTTTACAACTCTTTCAAGCACACGCAACCTCGAACTCTCGAATCATCGCACGCACGCTCATTTTTTATCTCGCTTTCCCTCTCTACCGTCTACCTGGCAGCTTATTTATACACTCATCTTACTCATACACACGTACAGGTAGTATACGCATACACAAATATATCGCATATGCATCATCTTGTACTAGCATGCACGGCTTTGACTTTCGCAATTGGGGGGGGGGACTGGTTACAGAGAGTCGATCGGTTAGAAAATAGTGGATTGACAGCGCTTAAAACATCATATAGTACAAAGTTGAGGTTATGATATCGTCTCTATAGATTAGTGGTTAGATCAGCACGTTGTGGAATACGCAAATCCGTGCAGACGCCGGCTCGAATCCGGCTAGGGACAATCAACCGGGCTTTGCATCTACTCTTTTTTTTTTTTCTTTCGCGGACCTTAGGTCACCGTCTTGCGGCTCCAGTCTTGCGGCTTGCCGCTTCCAGATTTTCTGAGTTATGTTGGGCTCATCAGGATTGAAGACGTCATTTTGACACCCGCCCAGTGAGTTTCTCCAGACTTCATGATGCAAATGCCTTCAGTAGTACTCGGGCTGTACTTATGCAACTCTACTTTTATCCAGCAGGGTGCATAGAGACGTTACTAACGTATCAAAGTCTGGTGTGTCGTTGACGGTGCAGCACTTGGCCAAGAGCCATGCTACGAATTTCAACTTAAGTGCTACATGCCATGCGTTATATCAGCAACACTGCATTCACTTCATCGCCTGCAGCCACCTTTTCTTCCTTGCCCACTCCTCATCCTTCGGTCTCTCGGGTAATAGCACACCCAAATTTGCCAGTCCGTCCGCCGCCTCGTTCCCCGGTTCTCCTGAATGACCACGCACGTACACCAGCTCGATCCTCGCCCCAGGACCTCTGCGCTCCCACATGCGAATGAGCTCGGCGAGGTACTCTATGACTTCACGATTCTTGACAGGCTGGCCAGTGGATAGGATGAAGTTGTTACGGATCCAACCAGGTAGATACTTCGTCACACCTGCGAATGATAATTAATGAGGTGAATGTGCGTGGTGAGAGAGGCGTACAATCAATGGAGTATCTGGAATCTGTCTTTACAGTCAACCTTTTGGCCGATTTTGGGGACAGTTCGATGGAGCGAATGATTGCCTGCAAGACTTATAAGATTGTGGATTAGAGCAGAGTGAAGTGGGTAGACTCACGATAAGTTCGGCTCGATTATTAGTTTGAACTCCTGGACGCGCGGTCAGATGAGATGCATGCAGACAGAAAACACGTAGATGCAGCGGCGTACCTGGACATCGTTCGCTCAAGTTCCTTGATAGGTACATGAGTACGTCAACTCAGAATACGGGGATGGTGGTAAAAACCTTTCATCACCTTCACCAAAGTAGACACCTAAACCTGCTACAGAGCCCGGCTTGCCGTTGCCCTTGCACGCCCCATCAGAGTAAACGATGAGAGCCTCATCGAGTGAGTTGCTGGTGGTGGCTAATATTCGTGCGTTGGATATCGATCCGGAATTTGAGCCACTCTCTCCAGCAGTGGTCCCAAGCGACGAGCCCCCGCCACCTTCTGCTCTGACCTGCCGGGCTTCGATCACTCTTTTCCTCGTGCTATTCCGACCGCTACTGCTCGCAACGGGCTGTTCTTCGACCATCTTCGAACTAGAGATTGTAGCCGCTCCTGTGGATCCACCGTCAACGCCGAGCATGAACGCCTCAGCGTCCTCTCTCCGCGTGAAGCTCTTGTACACTGAACCGCCATGCCCAGTAACATAACCCTCGCATTCTTTCCATGAGCTGTATATTCCTGGCTGGCGACCTATTCTCACGGCGTAGTATTTCGATTTGGTGCTTTTGCCCATGTTTCACAGATTTGTGCTGGTGCTTAGGTCGACAGGAAATGGATGGTAGCGAGCGGTCAAAGCTTCAGAGGGAGGAACGCGACTTGGAGGAGAGGAACAAGATGCGATTTGTGCATGTGATCGTGGAACGACGCCAAGAGCGCTGAAGCGCTCAAAGTGGGGGTCTCCTGTCAAGATTTTCTTGCATCGAACAAGGAATCACAAAAGTCGTCGATATGAGAACTACAAGAAGGAGTGATAGGTCATGATAAAAGAGTATGTTCATAAAGTCGTGCTAGCACTACATGTAAAGTACAGTCCGATATAAACTATTGTCTGAAAAGCCATTGTCTGCCAAGTCATTACTAGATCGTTCAGCTCGTAAATAGAAGAGCAAAAAGGGTTGTATCTACAGGGACAAAGCACCAAGGGCAAGTGAGCCAACGAGGGCAGCAGCGGTTGGGATCCTGAGACCAGAAGCTGCACCGGAGGGCCCATCGCTGGCGTTGAGAGCGTTGGTCGTTCCATCGGCGTTGGTAGTCCCTCCAGTGGTGGCCCCACCGGTGTTGCCCCCAGTGCCACCGCTGTTCACAGCGTTATCGTCGTCCGAGTCATCGCCGCTGTCGTTCCCGCTGTCCCAGTCACTGATCCTTCCAGTAGAACTTCCGCCGACGCTGGTGTTCAAGTCGTCGTCGTTATCCGAGTCGTAGTGACCGTCGTCGATGTCGTCTCCAGCATCGCTTCCACCGTCATTGCTATCGCGGTCGTGGCTGATCAGGTCGTCATCGCCGTCGCCCGAATCATGAGTGTCGTCGTAGTTGCTGTCAGTGCCCCACTCATCGTCGCTGCCATTGTCGTCCCATCAGAGTCGTAGTCATCACCGCTGTCGTTATCGTTGTCGTTGAATCTCCCATCTTCGACGAGGGACCCTGCTGGAATGGGATGACCAGCGTCGTTGCAAATCCGGTGGTAATCTGACAAGGATAAGAAGGCAAGTCAGTGAACGGGGCTCATCGACGACGAGGTCGCATGGGATACGTAACGCTCAAGACCCCACGACCGATCCCTAAAACTTGAGCGCGCGTCTGCTCGTCCGAGGTGTGACGGACGATACAGCTGAAGCATTCTCCGATATCGTCGATCTCGTTGTCGTCGTCGTTGCAGAGACATGCGAAGTCGGAAAGGCAGCGAGCGCTGTTGGACTACGACAGGATGAGGTGTCAATGCTGCTTCAGGGAGATACAGATTAGGATACTTACGAGCTTAACGACATCTTCGCATGTGTCCCGGCACCTCTGGGGAATGTCGCTTGAGGACAAGGCCCCAAAAGGATTGAGCTTGGGGGCGTCTTGGCGCTTGGACACGGGGACGCTAGCGGCGGACACGACTAGAGAGTCAAAGAGAAGATCAGATTGGTGGTGACGAAAACGATGAGGGGAAAAGCAGCTTACCCAAGACGGCAGCCAAGACAAAAGCAGCAAAGGTAGTGTACTTGAGCGCGACCATGGTGAGCGTACGGAAGGTTCTTGTGAATGAGAAGGCGGAGAAGTAGTGTTGGGTTCAGTTGTTGATGAGATATGCTCCTTCTCGTCGACCCCTCAGGCTTTATACTCTGCCAGATGCTGTAGCAGCCTCAGGCTGTCGCGGATGATTATGGCCTCTCACTCCAGCTGTAGACAAAACAAAGAAGAGCGTTGGTAGACTGGTACGGGTGGGCAACGTTGCCCGACAAAGCCTACTGGCGTGTCTCGCAAAGGCGGAGGTGCCGTCTTGGCTGGTCTTCGCATGCGTATTTGGTCAGGGGGCTGTTGGCCTTGGGATTTCTTGCGGCCCGTGTGCGTTCTGTGTTTGGGCGTATACCGATCGACCAGGCCTAAACTAGCTATGATTGCGCACGGATGAAAGGAGGGAAGATGCTGTTGCAGTGCTCTTGGTGTGCCACTTCCTGGCCACTTCGTGTGTCGTACGCGTGCGCGAGACGCGACTTGGCAAGTGGTGAACTTGACGTCGACCTGCCTGGTCCTGCCAGTGGCAGCAGAGAGACTCTTGTGCACCAAGGCTGTGCTTAAGAGCCTGACAATCTCAGGACACTCTTCGTGTCTGATCCCAAATGACGGTCGCAGTAGGTCGAAAACAAGGCTTCGTCCTCCAGGGCCCCTTAATATCGACTGGCATTAAGTGGACGTTGAGTACATGTAGCGGCAATACACTGCAGTTACTTGAACGAGAGAACGCCGATCCAATCCACAACACTATTCATGAGGACAGCGACTTACTGAGGGTCATGTCATGAGAGCTTCGTAGACAGATATTGCAGTAGACTCACTAAACACTCATCAGCCTCCTCCTCTTGCTCGCCCATTGCATGTCCAGCGGCCTCTCCGGCTTCTCCACCCCCTCGTTTGCCAGCTTATGCACGTTCCCTTCGTTTCCATCGTGACCGCGCACCCACTCGAGGTTCACCTTCGTGCCTCGCGCTTGCCACCCGTCTAAAAGCGTGGAGAGATACTCGATGACTTCACGAGCCTTGGCGACGCTCGCAGGAAAGCCGCTCCGGAGCTATTTTGGGAGGAACTCAGTCGTGCCTAAAGGACGTTAGGCGGTGAGATTGAGGTTGCCAGGAATATTCCTGGTAATCGAGAAAACGTACATTGGATAGAATATTTGGAATCGCTCATGACTGTGAGCGACTTGACCGTTGGCGGGCTTAGCTCAAGTGCACGGATGATCGCCTAGACAGAAACGCTGAGAGTAGGCTCGAGGTCGAAGAAGCTGAATACAGCGTACGATAAGCTCAGCCCTGATGTTAGTTTGAGCACCTAGATGGCGCACTAGGTGAGAGGTTTTAACGTCCAGCAAGACACCGTGTCATACCTGGACACCGCTCGCTCGGATTCCTGATGAGAGTAGTCAGCTGAGGTGCCCAGTAAGAAGCAGAGGAAGTAACGACCGCACAGCAGCGCTACTCACCTCGCATCATCATCTCCGCACCATATACGTATCCTTGCGATGGCGTCTTCCCCTTCATTCCTCTTACATGCACCATCAGTGTGTATCCTGAGCTGATTCGGCTTCACGTTGGCGGCCAATGTGACCGCTTGCGTAGAATGCGTGCCCTGAGAAGTCGCTGCCGAGAGTCGAGACACCGAGCCCTGGCTTGATAGTAAAGACTGAGATGGCTGACCGCATGCGTGGCAGGATGCCGCACCTCGTTCCAAGTCCAACGTAGTATGGACTTGCGTCGCAGGTGATGAAGCCAGTTTAGGCGCTGAACTTGTTTCCGTTCGAACCGGTTGTTCCTCCTGGCGTGCAGCTCCGAGTCACTAGCCTCTGACTTGCTCCTATCGGCTCAGAGCTGGGTGATTGAGAGCTCTCCGCGCCACTCCCAATAGAGCTGGCGCTACTCTCAGCCCTCACGCTTCGCGCCTCTGCTACGCCTCTCGCCGTCGCACTTCTATCACCGTGCTGGAATCCCTCCTCGTTGGCAAACGTCTTCGAGCCATCGCTATAGATTGTAGCAGTGT